CCAATTATCTTGAAATGCAAGGATCACAATATGAAAAAATAAACAAACCAAGTTTAACAACCCTAGGTTAAGAACCTCTGGTAGAGAGGGAGGAGAAGGCAGTAGAAGCTTGGGTCAGGTGGGTGAAGAAGGCAAGAACATTGAATTTGAGCTGTCTTGAAGAAAGCCAGGGGAATGGGTAGGTAGACACGGGCCTTGGGAGAGAGTCATTGCAAAGGCCTGGAGAGAGATGATGTGTCTGGGGTGAGGAACTGCCAGAAAGCCAGTGTTGTTGATCAGAAGGTATTGGAAAGGAAGTAAAATGCAAGAAGCCTAGGGAGGTAAAAAGGGAAGAAGTAAAGAAAAGCTTTAAATGCCAAAGGAATTTGTATTTAATCCTGGGGGCACTAGGGAGCCACTGGCACTCACTGAACCGTGGAGTTGAATTCTTTCGGACAGGACCCTCGTGTTGTGATTTTGGGGTCCCAGCACCCCTAAACCTCTATATCTCAACAAAAGGAGCTGTGCTGTCTAACTGGCCAGTTCCAGGAGGTCCCCAGTGGGGCAGCTACTGCTACTCAGAAAGGTTGCTGTTTGTCCTTCATTCTTGAAGAGGACCATTACATCGGGAAGGTGATGCCATGACACAGAAGTGAATTAGATTGAAGTGAGGGAGGACCGTGCAAAGTCACCAGAGGGAGCCATCTGACAAGATACAGATCAGGACAACTGGAGATAGCCCTTGTCAACTAATGCAGAGACATCAAGAAAGATGAGGACTGAGAAAAGGCCGTTAGCTGTGGAATTCAAGAGATCATTGGTAACTTTAAAGAAGGCAGTTTCAGTCGAATGATGGGGTCAGGGCAGACTGCTAACAATTTACAGGAGGGAGAGATGAAGTAGAATTGCAGATGGTTTCTCAAGTTTGTCCTTGAAGAGGAGAGATAAAGGGTGATCACTATCAAGGATGAAATCAAATGGGGGCTTCTTAAGGAGGGATTGGCCTTGCAATGGGAAGGGCCACCTCTTCATCTGAGACCGCGGCAGAGAAGTTAGAAGGGGAAGGTGTCTGACTGACGTGAGCTGAAGAGGGGAGCAACTGGTCTCGATTGTTTTTCTTTTTGATGAAGTGTAAGGCGAAGTCCTCAGTTATGAGTGTGAGAGAAGGAGTGCTGTGAGAGGCTTGAGGAGAGATGAGATTTGAAACATCTACTGTGGAAGATGGGATTATTGTTGTTTTTCAGACATTTCAGTGTCCAACTCTTTTTGACCCCATTCGGGGTTTTCTTGGCAGAGGTACTGGAGCGGTTTGCCATTTCCTTCTCCAGCTCATTGTACAGATGAGGAAACTGAGGCAAGCAGGGTGAAGGGACTTGCCCAGGCTCACACAGCTAATAAATGTATGAGACCGGATTTGAACTCAGGAAGATGAATCTTGCCGATTTCAAGCTTAGTGTTCTATGCATTATGGCGCCACCTAGCTGCTATGGAAGGTGGGATAGTGGAATGCAAAGAAGCCGCTAGGTGATGCAATAGAGTGTTGAATGAACCTGGAGTTAACTAGCTCTGTGACCCTGGGAAAATCACTTAACCCATCTGCCTCAGTTTCCTCATCTGTCAAACCGGGATAATAATAGCACCTACCTCCCAGGGTTGTCATGAAGATCAAATGAGATATTTGTAAAGCACTTCACAATTTAAAAAAGCTATGTAAATGCTAGCTATTATTGAACATATTCTTATTATAATTCTTTATGTAGTCAGGGCTGTAGTCAGGGCCCAGTTAAGATAAAAAAAAGAAAGAAAAATATGTAGTGGACCAGTCAGCTCGGTTTTGTGATTCCCTTTAGTTTCATTAAGCAGCCCCTGAATTAGAGTGGTGGTAGGTGGTGGGAATAATCCAGAGTGGTGTGATGAATGGAAACCCCAAGAAACAGAGTTTCCGATAACTAATAATCAATTTATTCATTAGACTAGCTAATAGGAAATTGATGGTCAGTAGTTTCTATTGATATCCAAAGATGCCCAGTGGAGACCCTGAAATTCCCTTGACAAGTGAAAATCAACCCTGAGTGGTGGACATTGAATGAGGAGTCTTTAGAAGTCTTTAGCTCCTCCTGCTGAGAACATGGCTTGATCATGAGACTCAGTCACCTCCAGTAATCTGGACAGGTGAATCCATCTCCATCCAGACCACTCTGGTTGGTTTTTTCCTTCATGAGCTAGGTCACCCTAAACTTTAATGGAGGGGTACAAGGACAGGGGCCCCTTTCCCTTGGGTAACAACTCACACAGGCTGGATTCTGTTTATACTCTAAACAGAAGTAAGATCACCTAGTTGGGTGGGATCCCACTCAAGACTGAAGAGCAGTGTTCCTGGAGGATTAGGACTAATCTCATTTATCAGTCACCTCCTTCAGAGACTGACTTTAACAGGAATGAGGAAATTGAGGAGAAAAGGCAAGATCCCAATTGAATAATTGGTTATTAATATAATAATTTCTCTCAGCTTGGATACAATAAGGTATGACTGGAGATAGAACAAAGGATTTGACAGAAGATAGTTTAGGATTGAATTGGTTCAACTAAGACATGGAGATAGGGATGGGAGAAGAGCATAGCCAGTGCAGGAATGATGTCCTGGGAAAAAACTGGAGAGTTTGAGGGAATGGAGATCACTAATTATAAAGATGAAGAACAGTGCTAGGGAGATATGAAATGATAAAAAAAAAAAAAGATATGGTCAGACAAAGCAATTTCAGAGCTCTTGAAAATGGAAGTTGAACACTTGAGGGGCATGGCAAGATTAAACCTATGCCCCTCGTGCTATGTAGCTGATGTGAAACAGAAGAGGAAGTGGGTCATGGGTATATGGAGAAAATGAGAAGTAAGTTGAAATCCCCTAATTGCAGGGCAGGAGTTGGGAAAGAGAAAGAGTCAGATAGCAAACTTATTGAGGAAGGACAGGGAAAGTCTTGGGGGTTGGTAGATAATCGCCATTAGAACCTGGATTGGGTGATAAAATTAGGCACTATGAACTAAAAAGAAGAGATATTGTTGAGTGGTGGTGGTAGTCTTGAGGGAGTCATGGGGTGCAGTGACCTTAGACATTTTAAAGATGAATGAGACCCTGGGCCCTGAAGCCTGTAGTATTCTGACAAGCCCACACCCACCCTTTCCTTGGTCTGGCAGTTGAAACTTGGCTTCTGGGAAGGAATCTTCAGGTGGAAGATTATTGGAGGAACCTGGGACCCCCTTTTCTCTGGTGCCCTTGGGCTCTTTGGGACCAGAGTGGCTTTACAAGCAAATGGGGTTGTGTTTTTACTTCAGTGAAATGGCTGTGTTCTATATATCGATGACCAAGGAAGGGAACTCATCTATAGACTGGAGCAAGAGAGCTGGAGGCACAGATGTGGCTGGAAGGCTAGGAACCATCCATGCCCTAACCTCACTCCCTCCTCCTCCCCCAAACCAACTCTAGGTTGGTTTTATAAAAAGTTGATTATTCAAACAAAGAAGTTTCTGGATTTTTTGATTATTGAAAACCAAAATTAAGAAGTTGAAATATGAAAATGTCTCCAGCCTGGGGTTAGGTTTCTGTTCCTTCTGGCTCCAGCAGGAGGGGCTTCCTCTATGAGAAAGTCATAACTCCCAAAAGCTGCTCCCAGTGTTTCAGAGTTCCATCTCTGTGATCTTTTGCAAAGGGTGGTGGTCTTCCCCAGCCTTTCTTCTTGTTTTGGAAAAAAAGAGTTATTTTAATTTCTCTTTTTAAAGTTAAATTAAATTTAAAAATGTAAATTCTTATTTAATTTCTCTTTAAAAAAATTATTTTTGAGTTCTAGATTCTCTCTCCCTCCCCCCTGTCCACTACCCATTGAGAAGTTGAGAAATACAATGCTTATTGTATATACTAAGTCATGCAAAACGTGTTTCCACATTAGCCATGCTGTGGCAGGGCGGGTGGCGGAAGGAAGCAAGAAAAATAGAGAAAAAAAATCTCCAGTCACCACTGAGAGTCCATCAATTCTGTCTGGAGGGAATAGCATTTTTCCTCACGAGCCTTTGGAATTGTGGATCATTGCATTGATCAGAGTTGCTAAGTCTTTCGGTTGATTTTCGTTTATGGTATTGCTATTATTATGTATAATGTCCTGGTTCTGCTCACTTCACCTTGTGTGATTTACAGGTTTATACCTTTCCAGGCTTTTCTGAAACCGTCTCCTTCATCATTTCTTAAAGTGTGACAGCACTCTATCACATTCATATACAATAAATTGCTGAGCCATTCCCCATTTGATGAGTATCCCCTCGGTTTTCAATTCTTTGCCGCTACAAAAAGAGCTGCTATAAATATTTTTGTACAAATGGGGCTTTTTCTTTTTCCTTTGATCTTTTTGGGAGTAGACCTAGTGGTGATATTGCTGGCTCAGAGGGCATGCACAGTTGTATAGTCCTTTGGGCACAGGTCTAAATTCTTCTCCAGAATGGTTGGGCTGATTCATAGCTCCACCAACAATGCATTAGTGTACCCATGTCTTTCATAACCCCTCTAGCATTTATCATTTTTCTTTTCAGTCATTTTGGCCAATTTGATAGGTGTGAAAGGGTACCTCATGGTTGTTTTAATTTGTAATTCTCTGTTAGTGATTTAGAGCATTTTCATATGACTACTGATTTCTTTTGATTTCTTCTTTTGAAAACTGCCTGTTCATACCCTTTGACCATTTATCAGCCGAGGAATGGTTCTTATTTTTAGAGACTTGGTTGAGTTATATATATATATATATATTATATATATATATATATATATATATATATATATATATATATATGTGTGTGTGTGTGTGTGTGTGTGTGTGTGTGTGTGAGAAAGGAGACCTTTTATCAAAAGAATTTGCTGTAAAATTTCCTTTCCAGTTCCCTGCTTTTCTTCTTATTTTAGCTGTATTGGTTTTGTTTGTGCAAAATAATCTTTTTAATTTAATACAATAAAAATGATCCATTTTGCCTCCCATGACCTTTTCTTTCTCTTGTTTGTTCATGAACTACGCCCCTATCCAGAGGTTAAGTGACTTGCCCAGGGTCACACAGCTATTCAGTGTCACTCTGAATCAACTGATGTTGTCCCATATCCATTCCCACCTATGGCACAGTAATGTTCCGTGACATTCATGTACCACAACTTGTTTTGCCATTCTCTAATTGATGTCCTTAGTGAGGGTGTCAGGCTGTCTCCCGAAAGGGTCCTTCCCTTCTGCAGGACTGGGTTTCCTAGTGATCTCAGGGCCGATGGTGACACTACTATTGGTGACACTCGGGCCATACCAGCCAGCCCAGAACTGAGTATCTTTGCCTCCATGCTGGAAGTGGATGTAACGGACTCTTGGGGGGTAATTGGAGAATGTGTAGGAGACCTGAGAGAAGCCAGAGGCACCAGTTAGTAAGCAGCATCCCCTCCCCGTCCCGGCCCCACCCCAAACCGTGCGGCCCCCTCCCAGGGCTTCCCTGACCTCTTTCCATTCGGCACCACTCCACTGCTCAATGTACACAGGGGCTGGCGTATACTCAGCCAAGACCTCGCGGCTGTCCGACAACAGCTTCACACAGATACGGTAGATGCAGCCACAGTCGTTTCTGGCGGCAAACCTGTGGGTGGGAGGGTGACAGGGAGAAGGGAATGGTGGGGAAGGCCAGGAAGGTTCTGGCCATGAAGAGAGTGGCTAGGGCTAGCGAACTCTCTGAACTCCTTAGCCACGTGTCACCAGGACTCACAGACATGCTCTAAAGCCCATCAGTCAGGCGCCCAGCTAGGCCTCTCCTGCTTCTTCACTCATGACCGCGCCAGATTCTTGTACTGAGGACACGGTCACCAAGAGTGAATGAAGTTCAGCTGAACGCCCCAGTGCAGCAGGGAACAGTCTCTTGCCTCAGTAGAGCACACCTCTACTCATCATCAGACTCATAGAAACAGGGAAAGAAGCCCTAATCTACTGCTTAAAGAGATGAGCTCTCCAAAACCCAGATGTTTGACACAGGCCTAGTGCTGGGGCTTCCCTGGGAAGGAGCTGTTGCATCCTGGTCTGGGAATAGAGCTGGTCCCCTAGAAAAGGGGTAAGTGCCATCTTTTGGAGGAATGATGACCTGTGAAGCAGAGCCAGCGGAAAGTCTAGGACCCACAACGTGCCAGCAGAGCAGAAAGAGACCAGGAAGCCCTGCTTGGCTTTCATGGATCATAGCGCTAGGGCTGGAAGGACAGCCAGGGGTCATCTAGTCCAACCCCCTTGTTTCCACATGAAGAAGCTGAGGACCAGAGTGGCATAGTGAGTTGCTTAGAATCTGAAAGGTAGCAAGTGGCAGGGCATCACTGAACCTGAGGACTGTGAGTCTATGTCCACCCTTCTGTCTACTGCATCTCTACCTTCGTCACTGATATCCTACATAAGCATGGGTAAGCACCGAGTAGGCTTTCCGTTCACCTATCTAAAAAATAAGAAAAGCTATTTCTTCACAAGGTTATGGTAAAGATGAAGTTGTTCATGGATGTGAGAATGTCCTGCCTTCCCCCAGGCTCCAGCCCAACTCACCAGTCTTTAATCACAATGTCTGGCTTCACTGTGTCCATCAATTCCTTCCAATATCCTGCAGCTTTCAGGTCCACCTGCTGGGACTTGAGGCAGGTGCTGGGGAGACATGAGAAAGTTTTTAGCCCCAGGTCTGCTGAGTAGTGGGCTGTGCCCTTCCTCATTGGGGAAAACATAATTTCTGTATAAGTAATTATTTTATTAATCATGCCAGCAGATAATAAATAAAAGGGGGCAGTGGCACCAAAGTGCAAGAGATCCCTCGTGGACCCCTCAATGCTTTTATGCCCTTGGAAGAGTGTGTGGCAATCAACTCTGATTGGTTAACAATGAGATGAATGAATATTATAATGAGAGGCGGGCTTATTCTAATAAGGGGCTGGAGAACTTGATTCTGATCATTCAATCTTGGACAAAGAGACTTATTTCTTATCCAGACTACTCCCACCTAGGGAAATCTAGACAAAAGGGGGTCCACCTCTGCTCAAACCTGATTGAGTGGAACACAATGGGCCAGAATTCACTTTAAATTCTTTGCCAGATTCTCTATTTGAATAGGGCAATAACTCCACCTAGATAATATGGTCTACATGGGATAAAGTTTTGGGAAAGATCAGGGATCTCCCCAGTAATTTGTTATTTAATACTCATTTCTCTCATCATGTGATTGATCAATCCTCAGTCAGACTTAAGAGCTGTAATCATCCTTCCCATCCCCATCCCAGCAATCGGCATGATGCATGAAGTCTCTCTCTCTCCCCCTTCTCATTCTCCGTCTCTCACTCTCCCCTCCCCCATTATCTATGTCTGTCTTTCCATCCTCATAAGTCTTCAGTAAGGAACCAACTCAAAGAAGTTGATCCTGAATCCATTTTTTCCTCCCCTTTGCTTTTTCTCAGGTTCCTGGGAATTGTTTAATAACAATAGTCGATCAATATATAGCAGAAACAATGTAGTATAGTAGACAGGGAGCTAGCCTGGAAGCCAAGAAGACCATCGTTCCAGTTCTTCTTCTGACACACATTATGTGACGCTGGGCAAATCCCTTCACCTCTCAGTGCTCTTGACAATTCTCGAAGCCTCTGAGCTGTGGAGAAGGTGCTGATTTGTATTGGAAGAGGGAGTTCTTTATACTGATGAAAGTATAGGTCTGATTCTTACCCCTGTTTTATGTAGCAATTTACCCTGTACCAATTAAATTACATTACCTCCCTTATCTGAGCCTTTGAGGTTGGTACTATGAGTGTTATTATTTCTACTTTACATATGGAGAAACTGAGGCTCAGATAATCAAAGTCAGTGAATTGTCCAAGATCACACATTTACTAGGTAAAAGAGGTCAGATTCAAAGCCAGGTCCTTTATCTTAAAATGCAGTGATCTTTCTACTCCTCATATAGTGAGGAGTCCTCACAGGTCACCTGAACCATTCTCTTGAATAAGGGCTAGTGATTTGGGGAGCAGCAAAGGGAGATGTGTCTGGGAATATCCATCAGGCTTTGAGAACTGCCACAGGGTTCAGCATAGCCCCAGACAAACAGGCAACTTCTAGGGCTAGATAGCCATGTGCTTCAATGTAGCCTTGGGGAAACACAGAAACAACCCACCAGCCTCAGCACATGCCAGACACTAGCACTAGGACCCTGGCTTAGCACCAGGTATGCTGCCAGACTCCTACGGCCTCCAATAGCACCAGCCACCCCCACCCCACTCCCTCAGCAAAGCACCAGACATGAGGGTCCCCTGTGGGCCTCAGAGCAATTTTAGTGCAACATCAAGTAAACAGCCAGGGCCTGCCATCCTTGGCACAAGAAGCCTGAGACAGTGCTACTTCCACCTCGGGAACAGAGCTCAAATTTAAAAGAAAGGAAAAAGGGCAAAAAAGATGAGCAAAAAACAACAAAAAAAGGAATCTGATAATAGAAAGTTATTATAGTAACAGGGAAGATCAAGACACAAACTCAGAAGAGGAAAACAATGTCAAAAAACACTTATGGGCAAAACCCCAAAGAAAAACAAGAAGTGGTTTCAAGCCTAGAAATAACTCCTGGAAGAGCTCAAAAAGGAGCTTAAAAATCATGAGAGAGGTAAAAGAAAAATTGGGGAAAGAAATGAGAATGATGCAAGAGAATTATGAAAAAAAGAGTCAACAGCTTGGAAAAAAGAAAACAACTCCTTAGAAAGTAAAATTGGCCAAATGGAAAAGAAGATACAAAAGCTAACCGAGGAAAATAACTCCTTAAAAGTTAAAATTGGGCAAGTGGAAGCTAATGACTCTATGAGACATCAAGAATCAATTAAACAAATTCAAAAGAATGAAAAATGGAAGAAAATGTAAATTACTTAATTGAAAAAACAACAGACCTGGAAGATAGATCCAGGAGAGACAATGTCAGAATCATTGGACTACCTGAAAGCCATAATCAAAAGGAGGACCTGGACAGCATCTTTCAAGAGATTATCAAGGAAAACTGCCCTGATATCCTGGAACCAGAGGGAAAAATAGGCATTGAAGGAATCTATTTATCATCTCAGGAAAGAGATCCTGAAAGAAAAATTCCAAGGAACACTATAGCCAAATTACAGAACTACCAGATCAAGGAAAAAAATATTACAAGTGGCCAGAAAGAAACAATTCAAATATTGGGGATCCATAATCAGGATTACACAGGACTTGGCAGCTGCAACATTAAAGGATTAGAGGTCATGGAACATAATATTCTGGAAGGCACAGGAGCTAGGACTACAACCAAGAATCACCTACCCAGTGAAATTAACATTCAAGGGAAAAAATGGTCATTCAATGAAATATAAGGATTTCAGGCTTTTATAAGGAGAAGATCAGAATTGAACAAAGAAGTTGATCTCCAATATCAAGACTCAAGAGAAACATAAAAAGGGAAAATAAAACAAAGAATTCAATGGAGCTGAACTGTTTACAACCCTACATGGGAAGATGATACTTGTAATTCTTAAAAATTGTACCATTAACAATACAGCTAGAAGGAATATGCATAGACAGAGGGTATGGATACAAGGTAAATTTGAGGGAATGACATAAAAAATAACTAAGGGATGAGGAAGAATACACTGGGTGCAGAAGGAAGCAAGAGGTAGAATGGGGTAAATTATTTCACATGAAAGGGAGCGAAAAACCTATTACAGTAGAGGGGATGTTGGGAGGGTGGGCAATGGACATTGTTTGAACCTTACTCTCAGCAGTATTGGCTCAAAGTGGGAATAATATACACAATCAGCTGAATATAGAAATCTATCTTACCCAACATGGATGTAGAAGTGAAGGAGATTAAGTAAAGTGACAGGGGACTGACAGATGGGAGAGCAGATCAGGGAAACTGGTAGACAGAAATAAAACACTGGTGAGGAAGGAAAGGGTGAAAGGAGACAGAGGACAAACAAGAAGAAAAAGAGGAGGGAGGGAACTACACAGGTAGGAATCATAACTGTGAATGTGAATGGGATGAACTCTCCTATAAAATGCAAGTGGATAGTAGAGTGGATCAAAAACCGGAATCCTACAATATGCTGTTTACAAGAAACACACTTGAAGCAGAGAGACACACATACACAGAATAAAGGTAAGGGACTGGAGCAGAATCTATTATGCTTCAGCTGAAGTTAAAAAGAAAAGCAGAGGTAGCCATCCTGATCTCAGACAAATCAGAAGTAAAAACAGACCTAAGTAAAAGAGTTAAAGAAAGAAACTACATCTTGCTAAAAGGTACCATAGACAATGAAGTAATATCAGTACTAAGCATATATGCACCAAATGGTATAGCATTCAAACTCCTGAAGGAGAAGTTAAGCATTCATACAGGTTCATAACCAAACAAGAGAGACAGCATTACAAAATGTAAAATAGATCATTTTGATTATATTAAATTAAAAAGCTTTTGCACAAACAAAACCAACACAACCAAGGTTAAAAAGAAAACAGAAAGCTGTAAAATAATCTTTACAACAAGTGTCTCTGATAAAGGCTTCATTTCTCAAATATATAGAGAACTGAATTTGCAAGAATAGAAGCCATTCCCTAATTGATAAATAGTCAAAGGATATGGACAAGCAGTTTTCAGACATCAAAGCTATTTTTTTTTTGGTGAGGCAATTGGAGCTAAGTGACTTGCCCAGTCACACAGCTACTGTTATGTGTCTGAGGTGGATTTGAACTCAGGTCCTCCTGTCTCCAGGGCTGGTGTTCTCTCCACTGCGCCACCTAGCTGCCCCTCTAAATCACTATGGATTAGAGAAATGCAAATTAAAACAACTCTGTGGTACCACCTCACACTTATCAGATTGGCTAATGGGACAAAAAAAGAAAATGATAAATGTTGGTGAGAATGTGGGGGAAATTGAGACACTGTTGGTGGAGTTGTGAACTGATCCAGCCATTCTGGAGAGGAATTTGGAATTATGGCCAAAGGGCAACCAAACTGTATATACTAGGTCCAGCAAACTAGGTCTATATCCCAAAGAGAGCATAAGAAAGGGAAAAGGATCAACATGTGCAAAAATATTTATAACAGCCCTTTTCATGGTAGCAAAATATTGGAAATTGAGGGGATGCCCATCAGTTGGGAAATGGCTGAACAAATTGTGGTATATGAATGTAATGGAATACTATTGTGTGATAAGAAATGATAAATAGGCAGATTTCAGAAAAAACCTGGAAAGACTTGTACGAACTGATGCAAAGTGAAATGAGCAGAACCAGGAAACCATTGTACACAGAATCAGCAACATTGTGTCATGATCAACCATAAATGACTCAGCTCTTCTCTGCAATACAGTGATCCAAGATAAGTACAAAGGACTCATGAAAGAAAATACTATCCAATCCAGATGAAGAACTGATGGACTCTGAATGCAGATCAATCAAAGCATACTTTTTTTCACTTACTTTATTCTTTTTCATGTTTTTCCCCCTTTTCATCTGTTTCTTCTTTCACAACTGTGGCCAATATGGAAATATGTTTTACATGATAGCACGTGTATAACCTGCATCTTGTAAAATCTCATAAAAATGAATGCTAAAAATTGTCTTGACATATAATTGGGGAAAAAATAAAATACTATTATTTTTTTTTAAAAAGAGAGATGTTCCTTCCTATCTATGGGTCTTATAATTTATAATATATAAATATAATGTAATACATAATACATAATATAAAAACAATAGACTCAGTATTCTCTAAGGTCCCTTTCAACATTAAATCCTATGATGCTGAGATTTCTATTTCAGGCTTTGTAAGTCTCCTCTCCAATGTATGAGGCAGGAGGGCTTTGGCTCCATCTCCAAGCACTTTTCTCAAGCATGGGGGAACGGGCCAGTTCCTTCTGGTCTCTGGCATTTGGAGAACAGGTCAATTTCAAAACAATTGACGTGCATTCATGAATCCCACTATGCACCAGGCAATGTCTTGTATTCTTATCTCCATCTTTTGAAGAAGGGGAAAAATGAGCCTCCAACTTGAATAAGTTATCCCTGGAAGGGTTAAGTACTGTTCCTCAGCTGCCCAGAGGACTGCCCCTATCCCCAACACAGCCTGCCCTGGTCAGCCAGGTCCCACTCTTATTCCTCCCCCCCCACCTCCCCCCCCCCATAGCCCTTTCAAGCCAAAATTCCTCTTACCCATAGGAGGTGACAAAGCATTTCTTGATCTGGGGGTCTGTAAATTCTGTCCCATGGTCTCTAGGTATGTCTTCCACTTTCCATCTATCTCCTCTGTTCTTGTCAATTTTCCAATATTTGAACCCCTCTAGAAAAAGAGCAAGTCTTTCAGAGGTCCGAAATGATGGATCCACCCTCCACAATATGTCTTGCCCTTCTCTCTATCCAGCCACCCCTTAGCTCAGGACTCATCACCTTGGAAAACCTTTTATGGCGAAAGGAAAAATTGTGCAAGGAAACCTGAAAGTTTCACTTCTTGTGACCCAGCAGCAAAGTTCTGCAGTGAATCAGAGAAAAAAATGTCCACTGCTACTGCTCAGAGCTAGAATTTTTACAGCACTTTAAGGTTCGTCTCATTGGATCCTCACAACAACCCTGGGGAGTAGATGCTATTATTAGCCTCATTTTATAGATGAGGTCACTGAGGGACAAATAGGTTAAGTGTCTACTTGCCCAGGGTCACACAGCTAGGAAGTGTCTGAAGCAGGACCCCAACTCAGGTTGTTCTTTCTGACATCAGGGCCTGGCCTGATGACACTGTACCAACTAGCTGTCCCCAATAATCATCAATTGGCTGGATCAGAACAAAGAAAAATGCAGTTGTGGGACTTGGAATAATCAGGCTGGTTTAATCAGAATTAGGAACTGGAAGAAAAAAAGGATTAAAAGAAATTAAAGGTGCTTTAAATTAGCGCAAGACAGTCTTAAAACCAGGTGGCACAATGCACTGGGCCTGGAGTCAGGAAGACCTGAGTTCAAATGTGCCTCAGATACTAGCTATGTGACCCTGGACAAGTCACTTAACCTCTGTTTGCCTTGGTTTCCTCATCTGTAAAATGAGCTAGAGAAGGAAATGGCAAACTACTGAAGTATCTTTGCCAAGAAAACTCCAAAGGGGGTCATGGAGAATAGGACACAACTGAAAAATGACTTAACAACAACAACATTACAGCATCTGCCAGATATATCATGATGAAAAGATGAAGTGAGCAGCACACATAATGAGTTTCTTTTGTTTTGTTAATATACAGTTTGATTTTATTCAAATGACTAAATACCGTACTTAAGAGTATATCCTAGTTATGGAAAACATATTTTCAGAACAGGCTAGAGCTTGTCTTGCTGCTAAACCAGATTCCAATGCAGTCACAAAGACACCACAGAATTGTATTTAATATTGATGTGGATTTGATGTTCTTAACTGACTCCTACAAAGACTTTAGATAGTGTCATAAGATAATTTCTGCTTTTTCTTACCATAAATTACTTAAGACGAGCCTATCACATAACTAGGTACAGTCTGCAAAATCAAGCAGAGACCACTATGGCCCTGGTGTTAACCGATTCTTATTTCCTGTTCTACCCATCTGAAAATTGAAGCTCGAGACATTAGTTATAGTTCTGATGTTAACCCTCTGGCTCCTCTCTTGCCTGATAGAGGTCTTTTCTTTCTCCCACCTGTTTTTTGATGTGTAAATCATTACCTTTCTCTTCTTCTTTCCCTAAAATTTCATTGTACCCATCCTGCTTATGAAACCAAAACCTATAAAGCTGCTGAAATGAAAAAAAACAACAAAACCCAACAGCCCAGAAAAGAATAAAAAACACCCTCCCTTCAAAAAAAAATGAAACCAAACCAAAAACAAAGAAACTATGGAAAGACCTTTGTAACTAGATCCTGTTTAAAACACCAAAATGGTTGCTGCTGAAAGCTAGGAGTGTTAATCCTTTATCCCACTGCAGAAAAACTTTTGCTCCAAACAAAGTGTGTGTGTGTGTGTGTGTGTGTGTGTGTGTTAGGGATCTCTTGGACAGTCTGGTGAAGACTGTGGACCCCTTCTCAGAAAAATATTTTGCTGTCTACATTCATAATTGAAATAAATGTTAGACCATAGTTAGAAGTTATAGAAAACTAGAAATGTAATTGTTTTTCTCATCCACATTCGTGAACCCCCTGAAATCTATCCCTAGCCAGGTCCATGGACCCTAGGCTAAGAACTCCTGATCTAGGATAAAGCTAACACTGCAGCTTCAGTCTAGAATGTACATGAAGGCTTAGAGGCCACTCTGAGACAAGTAGAAAAAGCTACAGGAGACAAATGGAATCTGCTTCAGGTGATTGGGCTGGGAGAATTCAGTCATTTCAGTCATGTCCAACTCTTCATGACCCCATTTGGGGTTTTCTTGGCAGACACACTAAAGTGGTTTGCCATTTCATTCTCCAGCTCATTGTACAGATGAGGAAAACCGAGGCAAACAGGGTGAAGTGACTGGACCAGGGTCAAGTGTCTGAGGCCAGATTTGAACTCAGGAAGATGAGTCTTCCTGACTTCAGGCCCGCTGCTCTATCTACTGTGCCACCTAGTAGCCACGTGGGAGAACTACATTTCACTCACAGGAGAATCCTCTTCTCATTAATGAATGAGGTTATGAAAGAAGCTGAGACACTCCCATGGGGTAGGACATCCTCTGAGGTTAAGTATTGCTTGAATGACAAGCAGCTGGGACATATATGATGACCTCAGTCATCAGTGATGGCCTGACTCGGGAATGGATCCCTTCTTGCCTAGAGTCAAGGACTTATACCTGGAGGGTCTCAGGTTGAGAATGAAGTCACCCACAATGCACCTTCCATGCCTACAGCCCCGTTAAGGGGGACAGCGCCCTGACCCAGGATACTGGGAAGAATGTCAGTGGGATTGAATAGTCAGTCCTTCATGACATGTAGGAAACCAAGCCCCCAGGAGAGCCTAGTTGGTTTACAAGAGCTCCTGGAATGATGTCAGAGATGTGACTCAGAGTGGGAAACCAATGGACTTTCTGACCTTTACAGATGTAAAGCACTGCCCTTTTAAAATACAAGACATTTTGGTTACTGAGTGAAGAAACATGACATTTGTGAAAGAAAAGCAGCCGGACATAGTTATGAACACCTGAAAGAAGACTATTACCTCAAATGAACGTATTTAGAGGGCCTGATTCAAAGTAGCTCAAAGATACAGCAAAAGTGGGGATGGCTGCAATGCATTGTGGTCCATCAAGTCATTCACATGTAACTTTTTTTAAAGTGTTTTGAAGGATATAGCTGAGAATTAGAAATCAAAGAGCTCTTTGGGGACCATGGGAAAGCTCTCTATCTGTCTTTGTCTGTCTGTCATAGAATTGTGGACTTTGAGTTTTTTAACTTGTGGTAGAGGCAGGAAGCCCTAATACAAGGCATTCTAAGCCATAGGAGAGGAGATAGTGAGAAGCCAGAGACCAGAAGAAAAAACAAACTCACCAGCTGCCTGAACAGAGAAGACAGTCTTGGAGACTGCCCTTGATTTTTGAAAGAAACAGGAGAATGAAGTCAACTAAGAAAACTGCATGAAGTCCTGGAGCTTCCTGGAGGAAGCAGAACCTGTACCGGCTGGCAGGACCCACCTTGGGCGCAGGGGTTTCGGATCAGGTTCCTCCTGAGGCTGCAGAGGAAGTAGAAAACCTTCCAGTCAGCTACTGGCTGATCCCAGTCCTGGGAGATGAAGCCCTCTCTCTGGCACTTGCGTTTCCACAGGGACACGAGGTCGATGAGGTCCCTCCACAGGCTGCAGACTGGCCGGCAGTGCCTCAGCAGCTTCCAGGCTGGCACCAGGGAGAATAGTTCCAGGAGGATGTTCTCGGGCAGCTCATTGATGGTGGCCATGGCCCTGGTGCCAGGGGAGAGGCACATGGTGATGAGGAGTCTATAATGCCTATACACTAAACATGGACTAGGTCTTGGGCCCTTTCTTTTCTCTCGATGCTATCTCTTTTGGTGAGCACATCAGACCCCATTATCATCTCCATGGAAAAGATTCCCCAGTCTTTACAACTCATCCCATTCGTCTTCTAAATCCTAGTCCCCCATCAGCAACTACTTGAGGGACCTCTTCACAAAAGCCATTGGCATCTCAAGCCCAATACGTCCAAAACAGAACTCAGCATCTTCTCCCCAAACTCGCCCCTCTTCTGAACCTCTTTTTTCAAGGGCATCACTATTATTCTAAACATCCCAGTTCACAACCCAAGGAATCCTCCTTAACTCTTCACTCTCCCTCATTCTGTATACAAAAACAAAACAAAACGACTCCAAATGGGGTCAGGAAGAGTTAGGACCCACCGAAATGACTGAATAACAACAAAAACCCCACAACATCTCTCAAATGCACCCTTTTTTCTGCACTCACAGGGCCACCACCCTATGTTACATGCAATCCACCAACCAAAAATCATCTATTAAGAACTTAAAATGTGTAGGGGATACAAAAAAAGAAAAGAAAATAGTCTTCAATTCTACATTCTATGAGGGACATGTGAAAAAATACAAAGTAATTTGTTTTGGGAAATATAGGAAGCTGTGGGGGGGGATCAGCAAAAGCTTGATGTGGAAGGTAGTGATGAGGTCTAGAAGTTTGGGGTGCTGGAACCCCAAGATCGTGAGGCAGGCTCTCCCTGAATGAATTCAACCCAAATCATCTTCCAGCCAGAGAAAAAGTTTATTAGAGATAAAACATATAGGCCAGGTGACGCCCATAAGGACAAGTGGGAATGAGAAAAACTCAGCCTTTTGGGAATGAGAGATTCTCAGCGTTTGAATGGGGGCCAGGGTGGATCTTATATACACTAAAGTAACTTTGGGGTGGCCAAAGGAGGGGGCTGGGAAAAGGGTCTAGGTGAGGATTCTGATTGGAAGGTCTGAGAGATTGAATAGACAATGAGAATAGAAAATAAAAGGAACAGGAAGAAGTGTGAAAGGCATCTGCATAAGATCAAAAGGTGGGGCTAGGGCTTTCAAAGGGAGGTAAGGAGAGTAGCTAAGAGTGGATAATAAACCCTAAAAGTTTAAGGGTTTTCTGGGGCCTGTAGACAAATGGGAGCCAAATTCTTTTTGGAGAAAGGGACAAAGGTCTTGGCTTCTGAAACTGCTTTCTGCTGGCAAGGGGCATAGAGCTGTCCCTGCCTTTCCGGGTCTCATTCAAGGGGTCAGACTTCAGAACCTGGCAGATGCCAGGTTCAGTGGGCTCAGATTTGGTCAGAGGGTGGGTATACAGTCTAAGCAGTCATCTGGAAGTTGATGGCTCCGACCCTAAAAGAAAGGAACCTGGAAAGAATATTTAGTAAACATGGACCAAACAAACACAGGAGAAATATAATCAGTAAGAGAATAAGAATAGGGGGCCAGTATAGAAAGAAGCCAGGACTCCCATGAAAAAGATTTTGGAGCACTGAGGTTATTGTGAATTTCTTGCATCCAACTAGCCTTTTCCAAAATACGTTCAGTGTGGAGCTCAGCTTTCCCAGAGTTGTTGATGTACATGCAACAAGATGTGTTTGCTAAAGCACATACACCCCCACTGGAAGCAAGCAAGTAGGTTAGGACTATTCTATTATCTAGAACTACTTTTGCTAAGGAATCCAGAGATTGCTGGATTTTCTGGAGACCGTAAGCTGTCACATTACCAACTGGTGAATAGTCTCTGTAAGGTTAGAGAGAATATGTTCATGTTGTAGGTTATACCAGGGCATAAGATAGTCTGCTCCCTTTTTAAGAGACCAGAGGACATTTCCTCAAAATCCATGTTTTGCCCTTAAGTTAGAGACTGTGGGCTGTGTGGCATTGAAAAAGGGGGTGCTAAAAATCCAAGGGTGCATACCCCAAAGTCTTTGTAGGGTGTCAAACACTGGGTGCTAGGGTCAGGTCCTAAGGCCTGGGTTAGGGGCATGGGGTGGTTAGTTTAGATTTTAAAATCACAAAAGCTTTAGCCTGGTCGGGGCCCCACTCTAGAGGGCGTGAGTTATGGCCCAGAGGAGCATCATAAAAGGGCTTAACAATAAAACTATTATTGGGGATCCAGAGTCTACAAAATCTAGCCATGCCTAGAAAAGGTCGAAGTTGTTTCTTAGTGGCTGGGACCAGGAGTTCATGGCCCCAAAACTTTACAGACTGGTATGCTATCTGGACTTTGTTCAAAGAGATCCTATAGCCTTGAGTTCCCAAGAAATTAAGTACCGCTGAGGCAGTGGACCTCCTGGGTGGGGCTACAAATACAGCTATGGGAAAATACTTTAGGGTCTCAGAGGTGAACAATGGCTGAGGTGGCAAAAGTAGCTCTCCCAGGAGTTCCCTGATCCCAAATTGTCTCCCACACTTCCAGGGGATCATGGGGAGGTCTGGCACACAGAGGGAAAAGGGAGAGGGGAGGCTTAACTAAAGAAAATTAGCTCCCCAACTTTACCATCAGGTCCCTTCCCAACAAGGGGGCAGGGCAAGAGGAGAGCATAAGGGAGGAGTGTTTAAACAACAGATTCTCAAATAGGCGTGTGTGTGGAGGGGTATGTCTGGAGACATCCCTTAGTTCTCCCTCCATAGCCCGTGATTGGATGGGTCAAGGAGCAAATAGGGCTAGAGTAATTGGTTAAAGCAAAGAACATAACCATGATGAAGTGGGTAACCTTACCTTCAGCCTCGATTTCTGTCCAGGGATTGGGGAGAGAGATGCAGAAAGTGGGAGTGTTGCCTGGACCCAGGCTCCCTTGTCCTCCCCAGTCTTGAGAAGACTGGAGGACAGGGTACTGAGGGGCTGCACTACCACTTCTCTTACCTCGGGGACAATCCTTCTTCCAATGACCCTCCTGGTCACATCTTGGGCAAGGTTCTGGAGGTGTCCATCTTGGGGGCTTCCTCCAAGGGGGTGCCCTGGAGGGGGCACTCCTTGGACCAGTGACCCCCCTGGTGGCATTGAAAGCAGGTTTTCCCACTGCCCAAGTTGCCAGGAACACCCTTGGGTCTTTTCCTAACCATGGCAGCAGCCAGGAATTGAGCATGTTTTTTGTCTCTAGCCCTCTGCCTGTGTTCTTTCTCCTCTGCTGCAACTAGGTCTCTGTTGTTAAAGACTCCAAAGACAATCTCCAATAACTGGGCCTGAGGTGTTTGGGGTCCCATTGCCAATTTCTGTAGTTTTCTCCTAATATCTGGGGCAGATTGGTTAACGAAATACATGCTAAGGATTGCTGCCCCTTCTGTAGAGTCAAGATGTAAATTCGTATACTTTTTAATGGCTTCTACTAGCCTATGTTGGAAAAGGGCAGGGTTTTCCTTTACTCCCTGAGTAATTCCCTTAATCTTCTGAAAGTTTACTTGCTTTTGAAATGCTGTTTTCAGGCCTTCTAACAGGCACCCCCCTCCTCTTTTCCCTATCCTCACTCTTCTGATAATCCCACCCCGTATCACTAGTGGGAACAGCAGCTATTCCTGGGGGGTATTTTGTGCGGTCATTGCTAGCAAAATGATCCCCAAAGTTTTGGGCTTGTTCCCAGATTCTCTTCCTCTCCTCAGTGGTACAACAGGTAGAGAAGAGGACATGCAAATCACTCCAAGAAAGTTGGAATTGTAGGGACACATCCCTGAAGCTCTCAGAAATTTAGTGGCATCTTCAGAGTACAGACCCAACCTTTCCTTAATCTAGTTGAGGTCTGAAATTGAGAATGAAACATGCACCCTAAGTGTCCCATTAGGAGAGGCGAATACTTCCCTTAAAGGAAAAAGCCCTGAAGGTGCTGCAACAGCAGGGGCTTTTGGGGGAGGGAGATAGGAAGTCCCACTTCTGGTGAGCGAGGGACTGGGGAGTGCAGGCTGAACTGGCAAGTCTGAGGAATTCGGCTGGCAAGGGGAAAGACTACCTGACATGGAGGAGGGGGAGAGGGAGGGGTCGGGGAGGAGATGCCAAGGCAAGACCCTTGTCTGGAGCCTGACTGGGGTCTCCTTGGAAGTAGAGGCTAGGGCGAGGCCCTCGCTCAAGGCCTGAGTAGAAGCCGCCTCCAGAGCAGGGGCCTGGGAAGGAAATGGAGGAGCCGGAGGAAAAGGGAAGGAAAACCAAGGGAAAGAGGAGATGGGCAAGGAGGAGTGGGTGTCGGAAGCAAGGGGGGCCAGAGGAGAATAGGGAAATGTAGAAGGGGTCAAGGGAGAATGGGGAGCAGAAGGAAGAGTTGGAGAAGGATAGGGAGCAGAAGGAGGGGTCTGGGGAGAATGGGGAACAGCCTGACAGGCCAGAGGAGAATGGGGTGGAGATAGGTGCTGGGGAGGTGGCTCTGTCGGAGGTTGGGAAGGGGGGAGGTGCTGTAACCCTAGGAGCCATAAGAAGAGGATTATCCCAAAAGGCCATTTGATCCCCATCCCCCGCTAGTGGGGTGGCTCTGGCTATGAGCATCTTACAATCCTTCCTGAGAATGGGGTCTCTAGAAAGCTCAACAAAAGCCATTAAGTAAGAAATCTCCACCCACTTTCTTTTTCTGTGACAATATCTTTCTAACTCCGAGAGGGTCTTTAGCCGTGATGTCCCCAAAAGGGGCCATGCCTCATAATATTCCAGGTGATACTGAGGCCAAACAGTGTTGCAAAAATATACCAGCTTTTTCTTTTTAAGTCCTTTAGAGAAGCTAAAATTTTTCCAATTTTGTAAAAGACAGCCCAATGGTGAATTCTTGGGAACTGAAGAGGATTGACCCACTGTGGGCTTAGGGGAAAGGAAAAAGAGAAAAAAAAAGAAAAAATATCCAACGGTTTCCCAATTCCCTAGCGCCGAGAGAACTGAGAGGATTGGACCTATGCTTCCTGATAGGGAGTCCGTCCTCTATGCTGAGGAAGGTATGCCAGGGTCCAAGTGCTCAAACAGAACCACTGGACTGAGAGCCTGAGAGCGTCAAACTGAGTTCGAGACAGCCTCGTAGCTGCCTGACCTAGCGGACCTGAGAGGTCAGGCCCGAAAACACTTCCAAGCCAAGACCTCGCTAGGTGCTTGGGAATCCCCCTCCCAGCCACAAGACAACAAAGGAATTGGGGAGTGGGAGGCTTCCGTACCTTCCAGTAGAGGCTGGAGAAGAGTTTGAGACTTGGTAATTATTCCTGGTGCAGGGAACCATATGAAGAGGTCTAGAAGTTTGGGGTGCTGGAACCCCAAGATCGTGAGGCAGGCCCTCCTTGAATGAATTCAACCCAAATCATCTTCCAGCCAGAGAAAAAGTTTATTAGAGATAAAACATATAGACCAGGTGACGCCCATAAGGACAAGTGGGCGTGAGAGATTCTCAGCGTTTGAGTGGGGGCCAGGGTGGAGCTTATACACACTAAAGTAACTTTGGGTGGCCAGAGGAGGGGGCTGGGAAAAGGGTCTAGGTGAGGATTCTGATTGGAAGGTCTGAGAGACTGAATAGACAATGGGAATGGAAAATGAAAGGAACAGGAAGAAGTTTGAAAGGTGGGGCTGGGGCTTTCAAAGGGAGATAAGGAGAGTAGCTAAGAGTCGATAATAAACCCTAAAAGTTTAAGGGGTTTTCTGGGGTCTGTACACAAACGGGAGCCAAATTCTTTTTGGAGAAAGGGACAAAGGTCTTGGCTTCTGAAACCTCATCAGTAGTGTTTGAATCTTGATGGATGCTAGGGATCTTAAGGGGTGGAGGGGAGATGAGAGGTCATTCTGGGGATAGGAACTACCTGTGGAAAGACTCAAAGGGTTGAGAGTCATGTGGGAGGAACAAGAAGGCTAGAGTGATTGAAGGAGAGTAGGGCATAAAGAGAAAGGAAGTCTGGGCCAGGTTGTAAAAGGCTTTAAAAAGATTTAAAAAAATTTCTTAAACATTAAAAATTTAAATTAAAATAATTTAAAAATGGAAATTTAAAAAAAATCCCAAAGTACACTTACTTGTTTTATGTTGGTGTTCCTTTGTGCTCACCAGCACCTCTTCTTCCTGGAAGGATTTCATATGTTCTCAAACTTGCAGGGTGGAGCTAGAACTCGCATGCACTAGAGCTTCCTGGGTAGAAGCTGTGGAGGGGCAGTGGCTTCTGGAAGAGGGCTTCTGAATGTTATCTAGACAACTTTTGGTTGGAGAGGTCCAGGTGTGGGTGCTCAAGAGGGAGAGCAAGGAGAAAACAGAGGGGAAGTTGGGCCAAACCCTGGAGACACAGATATAAAGGTAAAGTCTCTGCTCTAGGCTTCAAACCCAGGCTGCATTTGTCTTGCTAAAAGTACAAAGGGAAATGTGTAGCTAACATTTATTTAGTGCTTACTATGTGGGGAGGACTGTGCTAAGCACTTTATACTTATCTCATTTGAGCCTAGCAACAACCCTGGGAGAAAACTGAGGCAAACAGAGGTTAAGTTACACAGCTAGTAAGTGTCTGAGGCCAGATTTGAACTCAGGTCTTCCTGATTCCAGGCCCTGGCACTCTTTCCACTGTGCCACCTAGTTGCCTTCCTATGCTATACGTAGATGACCACGGAATGGGAGGCCCTGGGTGTGCTGAGTAGAGAGATGGTTGTAAAGTTGAGGCCATTTACTCTTTGACCCTCCCAAACCAACTCTAGATTCTGAGAAATGATAATTTCACTTTTGTTTTTAATGACTAATCATAGAATTAGGACCAGGGTTTCCCCCCTTTTCTACTTCATCATCCAGAAACCAACCAGTATGGGAACTCTTAGGCAGAGATTTACCTAGGCCAAGATCTGATCAGATAATCGTAAGAGAAATTCTAAGTTTGGGCTAACGGGTACATTCCTGCTCATTGGGTTTGCTCAGACAGGTTTGGGAAGTAGTGATTCTCCCTTTTGTCAAGCAGGGAAATTGCTAAGTGTCTGCAATCAAGATTTGGGTGATCCAAGTCACATACCCCAAAACCCTCACTGTAATGCAGTCCAGTCTTTCACTGTAATACTCATTTTTCATTCATTGTTAAACAATCAGAAGGGGCAGCTAGCTGGCGCAGTGGATACAGCATTGACCCTGAAGTCAGGAGGACCTGAGTTCAAATCCGGTATCAAACCAAACACTTGACACTTACTAGCTGTGTGACCCTGGGCAAGTCACTTAACCCCAATTGCCTTAAAAAAGAAAATCAGAGTTGATTGCTATTCCTCAGGAACACCTGCTCTTCGAAGGGCATATAAACTGTGACCCTACCACCATGCAGGGTCTTTGGTCTAAGAGAGACAGCCAAATGACTATCCTTTTATTAATAAATGTGCTGGCTTTGTTAAAAAAAATGATTAAATTACAGAAGCTATGTCTCTTGGAATTAAAAAAAATTTAAATCTTCACAAGGAAAAAAAAAAGAAAAATAAACAATCTGAAACAACAAAATAAGGAAATACCTTCAGCCTGCACTTAAACATGGCCAGGACAAGGTTATCCTTCACCTGCTATCATCTGTGTACAGGATCATCTGGGGCAGGAGCATGGATGATCACTTCTGGTAGAGAACAGGGATGCTCATGGTGCATCATAGTGAAGGATAGTCTGAGGACCTGTATTCAAATCCTGGTTCTTCTATTTACTCTCTTTGTGATTTGGGGTAAGTGCCTTCCTCTCTCTGGGACTCAGTTTCCTCATCTGTAAAATGAGTTTTGTGGTTGTGGTTTGTCCTTCATTCTTAAAGAGGACTATGACATCAGGGAGATGATGACATGACTTGCAATTGACTTTGATTTGAGTGAAGGAGGGCTGTGCAAAGTCACCAGCCTCACTTTCTCCTCCAGAGCCACCTGGGTCCAGTGGCCAGATATTGACCAAGACTACTGGAGATGGCCCAGGATGCAGTGGGGGATGACTGGGTTGTAGTGGATGACCTCTTTAAATCTTAGATCCTAGGATCCCATGAGGAACTGGCCCCACTCTAGGGCTCCTTGGGCGTGAGGCTCCCAGCTGCATATCAGAACTTCTTGGTCAGGCTTCTGGCGGACCCATTCTATTTCTCCACCCATGCATACAGGGTTGTATCAGAGGGTAGTATCCAGACACAGTCATGAGTTAAACAGTGCTTCAGACACATATCACAGCAAGAACAAATAGTTCCTCGTCCCAGGAAGCTCTTATCCTATACAGTTATCTCTTCCACAGCATGACTTTCCCCATCATGGTTTTGACACATCACAGGTTGACATCAGAAATTAAATGGAAATTCTGGAGGAGTTTTACAGAAGCCACACATGACACATGAAGGCCAGCAGATGATACAGAGCCTCTGACCTAAGAACCCAAATTTTACAATAAGGTACTGTAAACACTCCATAAAAGAAAAAACAAAACATTCACACTTCTTCTCTGGTATGAATGGAAGGCCAAAATTTTTCATGAGGATTTTCCCGATTGCTGAGGCACTGTGCCCTTAACCTCCAAGATGTGGAAGGTATAACTGTACTAGTCACTTAAGATTCCTTTGCTTCAGTCCTCTCATCTATAAGATGGGGTTGGTGGTACCCATAGTACCCATCTCAAAAGGTTGTTGGAAGGATCATGGTATAGTACAAGTAATGTGCTTTGCAAGCATTTAATTCATGTCCCTTTCTGTGTCTTTATCTCTGTGTCTACTTAAATACATGTATGTTACATGTATGTGTACACAGCCACACACACTCCAAGAGATCTGAGATTTCATGGATGGGAGTCTTCCCCTCAATGGGAGCTATCCTTGCCAGCCCATTCTTTGTGACTCTTGTCTGTGTCCTGCTGGAAGATAACCAGAGGGTCCACCCAGTGTGTAGGAGACCCTCCTCAAATTCTCGTGACTCCTGGTGGATACTAGTGGTATGCATAGACTGTCTATCTCCTGTCCCTCACGCTCACCACAAGGCTAGCTTATCTTTTCCCCCAAACATTTCTTTGATGACATGCTTTACTCTAGGTCCCTTCATAATTGATAGAATCATAAATCTAGAGCTGAAAAGGACTCAGAGGCCACTGAGTCTAACCTCCTCATTTTACAGAGCTGAATCCCAGGCAAGTGAACTAGCGTGCCCCATGCCATACAAGAAGTAGGCATGTGAGATGAGATTGGAACTCAGATCCTTCTGACTCCGAGTCTGGTGCCCTATTACTTCTACATTGCCTCTCCTTCTTTGTCATAGGTCATAGCTTACTCACACCCACCGTACATCTTTGCATTGCCCTCTGGGTGATGTTGTTCATGTTGTTTAGTTGTTTTCAGTCATGTCTGACTCCTCGTGACCCCATGTGGGGTTTTCTTGGCAAAGATACTGGAGTGGTTTGTCATTTCCTTCTCCAGCTTGTTTTACAGATGAAGAAACTGAGGCAAATAGAGGTCAAGTGACTTCTCTAGGGTCACAGTAAATGTCTGAGGCCAGATTTGAACTCAGAAAAAAGAGTCTTCCTGATTCCAGTCCCAGACCTCGATCCACTGTGCCACCTAGCTGTCCCTTCTGGGTGGTACTCATCTTTAATTCAATAGGAGGCCATAGTATTCTGTGTCTCATGGTTATGTAACATGAGGAAAATACTGGTCTTAAAATATGGGCTGTATTATCATGATTAATTAGAATTGTTATTAATATTTAATTTATTGATATATGTTATTAATATTTAATCAATTGTAATAACACCATTAATATAACTGGTTACATCATTATTGATGTTAGTGTTGTGTTATTATTAATTGTGTTGGCTATGTTATTATTAAGAATTATGATGTTCGAATCCGGCCTCAGACACATAACACTTACTAGCTGTGTGACCCTGGGCAAGTCACTTAACCCCATTGCCTAAAAACAAAAAACAAACAAAAAAAAAACAACAACAACAAAGAATTATGACGCATAGAATTTACACAGCACTTTAAGATTTACAAAGTGCTCTACATGTCTTATCTAATTTGATAATATTTGACATTTTTGTTATTGTTATACACTTGCTGTATTGCTTTAATAGGTAGGATGGCCAAGTCCCATCTCTCAAGTCAGAACAAATGTTTCCCCATCTTGTTTGTATATTTTTATTTATTTTTAGTTTTCAATATTCACTTCCACAAGTTTTTGAGTTCCAAATTTCTCACCCCTCCCCCCAACCCAAGATGGCATGCATTCTGAATACCCCTTCCCCTGGTCTGCCTTCTCTTCTATCTCTCCCCCTCCCTTCTCTTATCCTCTTCCCCTTCTATTTTCCTGTAGAGCAGGATAGACTTCTGTACCCCATT